TCTGCCTCCCAAGTGCTAGAATTCCAGATATGAATCACAGACCTGGCTTTCAAGTTCTTTATTGATGTAGGCTGATAATCACTATCTAGTGATTTTAGATGATATTCATACTTTGTAGGGAAGGTCCACCAGTGACAAATTCCCTAAGCTTTTGTTGATCTTAGAATACCTTCTTTTCTTTCTCCTTCATTAAAAAATTCAATGTAATATTTTATTAATTCTCTGAGAATATTATACATGTATTTTGATCATATCCAATCCTCACTCTTAACCTTAATGTCTTCCAGATTCATCCCTACTCTTCTCCTAACTTAATGTCCGCTTTAAAAATAAATCCCACCAAGGCTAATTTGTGCTGTCCATATAAATACTTTTGGGTGTGGGGCCATTCACTGGAGCATGGTTGACCTACCAGGGGGTATGGTGATATTTTATTTGTATTAAAATGTTATTTGTATGTTAATAAATAAAGTTGCCCAGGGGTCAGAGCTATTAGCAAGCCATAGGAAAGCAGGGCAGTGGTAGCGTACGCTTGTAATTCCAGCACTTGGTAGGCAGAGCTGGGTAAGTCTCTGTGTGTTCAGGGATACAGCCATTATTGGATACACATGCCTTTAATCTCAATACCAATCATAGAAAACCTGGAGGTCTACAGACAGGCCGTGAGGAGGCGGTCATGTGGTTGGGTTTACAACCAATGAGAAGGCAGGACAAGAACTCTATATAAAGACTTTAACACAGAAAGTAGCTCTGGTTTGAAGAGGTAGGACCACCGCAGGAGGAAGGGTAAGGTTTTAGCTCTTAGCTCTGACCTCTTGGCTTTCTTCTTTGCATTGGTTCTGTGTTTCTTATTTAAAAAGACGGTTGGTTACATCTACAAGGGGGCATATTTTTTAAAGAAAACTGCCTAACCTTACCCTAATATCTATCAGCTGTCAATAGCTCCATCACTAGGGGTGGGGGCTTGTGAACTGCTCCAGCTTCATGCTAAAATGTCAACAGGCTTGATCTTGTGTAAGCAATCACAGCCACTGTGAGTCATGAGTGCATCATCCCTGTTGTGTTCAGAAGACACTGTTTTGCTTGAGTACTTCCTAACCTCTGGCTCTTACGGTCTTTTCCACCTCCTTTTCCTTGTTTTCTGAGCCTTGGGGGTTGGAGGTGTGATACAGATTTTCCATTTGTGAGTTAGCACTCCACAGCACTTTGACTAGCTGTGAGTTTCTGTTTTAACCACCATCCACTGCACAAAAATGTTTTCAGAGGCATCTGATTTTCTCCTTCATTTTTGAAGGATCATTTGGCTCTTTGCTCTTGGATGGCAGTTCTTCCATACTTTGACTGTATCATCCCACTGTCATTTGGCCTTCATAGCTTCTGATATGAAAACAACTTGTATTCTTGTTAAAGACCCTTGTATGTAACAGGTCTCTTCACTTTCTTTTTGTTTTCTGCTTGTTTCTGGCTTTTGGCATTTCGGTTATATGTCTTTGTGTGAACTCCTGTAGGTTTAACACCCATTTTGGAGATCTTGACTTTCTAGATTCTTGTTGTTCACCAACAGCTAAGCAGTTGACAGCTTTTCCTTCTTTTCCACTTCTTGTTGGCTCAGAGTCTCAGGGTCAGCCAGGAGGAGGACTCAGAGCCTTCTTTGGATTCTCCTGGGCATTTTCACAGTGCTGGGCTTTTTAGGTCCTTTTAAGTACCCTGTGGACTGCTCACCCCACCCCCCAGCCTTTATTTCCCAGCCTTTCCTTCCAAGCTTTTTGATTAGTGTATTATTTTTCCCAACTGTTTCAGTGAGCAGAAAGTAAAGCACTTGACTATAACTATTTTCACTGATTTTTCCTCAAGTAGTGGCCTTAGATTATAGCCTTTGTGCCATCTCTTTGGGGAATTTTCCCCACCTGTACTAGAGAAAGGGTCTCACTAAGTTTCTCAGGCTGTCCTTGAACTTGTGATACTCCTTCCTCATTCTCTCCAGTAGCTGGGACTATAGGCTTGTACAACCAGGCCCTGCTTGGGATTCTCTATGACTGCTGACCTTATTTCTATGTTCCGCCCTGGCACACACCTGCCACATGTATATTAGACACTTGGGAGTCTCTCCTTATTTACTGAGCTGTAAGAGGATCCTCCATCTTAAAATGTATTATAGTATATGTATGTATATGTATAAATGTATTTACCCTAATCACCAGTGTCACTGTGGCTCTTACTACAGTCCATATAATTACTATTAGTAAATTGTTCATAGTCTATGCTATCATTACTGCAATAATGATCATTAATAGCCTTAACAGTGTGCCCGCTCACTGGTGAGTAGGGCATACTATCACTGGTAGCAAGCTTGGCGGTATGAGCTAGGCACCCCCACCCCATGCTTTGGTTCCCAGTGGCCTCAGTGATGTGGAGATGGTGAGTAGAGCAGGGATGGGCTCCTGACTCAGCTCTTGTCAGTGCAGATTCCTGATTTGCTTTGAGACAAATTCTTGGGCACTAGACATGCCCAGAGAAAAGGACCAGTATCAAATCCACTCCAAAGCCACTTTAACCTTTGACTGTCTGTTTTCTACCTGATCCATTATGGGTTTTGGCCTTTATGAGAAACTTCGTTCCACTTACTTGGGAGGGGTCTGTTTCTGTGTCATTTTCCCTTTCACTGATCTGGATGCTGTAGCTGAGTCCTGTTGGTGACATGTCCCGGAGTATCAAGTAAGAAGCTCATGTGAAAGGCTGTGTGCCTTCTGGCATATGGCATTGTGTGAATGGGTGACTGTAACAATACCAACATATTTAGAAGACAAAGTGACCCTGCCAGAGCTGAGAATGGGAGAGGACACAAATGACAAGAATGATTAACAGGTGTGGAAGAGAGACAGCAAATGGGAACAAATTGTTAGGCCTACAGAACAGCCAAGTGGCAAAACAGCCCAAGGGAGTAGTGGGGGCAGATGCTGTGATGGTGGTGCTAACCAACTAACCACTGTGATCTTAAGGCCTAGCAGCTGCCCCAGAAAAGAAGCACTCTATAGAGAACACATAGGTGACTTGGTCTCCTGTGGAGAAAACAATGGCAGTGAAAAAGCAAATCAGCTTCTGATGTGAAGTCTGCTTCCTTGCTTCTGAGGCTTCATATGATGAGGGCTGGCCTTACTGCTTCTTCCTGAAGCCAAATCATCCTGTCAACCATTCCTGCTCTCCATGGAACTCTTCTTCATGACCCCTTCACAGGAAAAATCTCTGAATCTCTGACCAGCATGGTGGGGAGTACCTTTTACCCAGGCTCCACATCCTAACACCAGAGGCGCTCTAGGGTAGGGCAGGGTAGGGTACAGAGAACCAGTATAATGAAGAGAGAAGACCTGGATGTACAGGAAATTGGGCTTGGAGAACTTTCAAACAATGTGACAGGCAATGTGCCTGGATAACTGAAAGCCCAGGTGAGACACATGAGGCAGTGAGTCTCTAGGATCAGAGAAGTGAGATGGTAGAGTAAGTACAAGCTACAGGACATAGAAACTGGATCCACAGAAACATAAATGAAGCAGGTGGGGCTCCTCATTTCAAGTCCAGAGGAGGGGGGAACCCAAAAGACTCAGTCCAGAACCCACCCTGATATAGGGTACAAGGCCAAAACTTCAAGAGACTAATCCAGTATGTGGCCTCAGGAGCACACCTGGAGGTCGAGAACTGTTGAAGTCTACCTGTGAGGGTAAAGCAGGCTTTCCATCAGGATAGGGTGAGGCCAAGGGTCTAGAATCTGGCCACACTCCAGGGATTGATAAAGGTAAATTCCACAAAGGAAGGGCAAGGCAGAACCCAGCAAAGTGCTATCTGCAAAGGGACACAGTTTGTCACAGGGAAGCTCTCCAACTAGGATACCACTGGATATACAGCAAACGGGGAAGGATCCTTATGGTGCTGTTCAGGGTGGGCATGCTCCCATGAGTCCCAAGCTCCAGAGCTATCCTTGCGAGGGCAAACAGTGACAAATTGTGGCTATCACTGTACTCATGTCACTGTTAATAACCTTGACATGTAAAAGGCAAAGTATAGCTAACAGTGGGATTATGGAAGAGAGGGGACAGGCAGCATGGGTTATAAGCCTTCTTTTTCCTCATGAGAAGACAGAGAGGGTAATCAAACTGGTAGGAAAAGCAATAGATCTGTTTTGCCTTAGAGCAGTTCTGTGTTGCTGGTTTTATTACTGTGTGCATATACTGGTATCTGATTAAAACAACTCACCATCAAAACCAGAGCAACTCCTGGGCTTTGAGGTGGCCTGGCCTGAGCCTTGACACTGTCCTGGTCAGTGTGACTCAGTCAGAGACCCCTAAGCTGCTGGCTTACCACCAGTCAAGGGTCTCCCATAGCAGTTCCCTGATCAGTGTTTCTGGGTCATGGTAGAAGTTGGACCCCCAAGCTCTAAGCCCTTTAAAGACCAGGTGGGAGTAGTCCGCCACCACCTGGTCATGCCCAGGGAGAGCCTGAGCAGAACAGGGAGGACAGGGGCTCTGGTAGGAAGATGGGGGAGTCTTGTATGGATTGCCAGCTTCTGCCTCTTTCAAGCTTGCAAGCCTTGAACTCACTTTGCTGTTTGTGTTTCTTTTTCTGTATAGCTGCCAGGATTGATGAAGTAACACAGAAGTACAAGATCCTCACTGACAGATTGCACAGAGACACAAGATAATGTGAGGGTAGAAGGCCCTCCCTGGAGCTATCAGGAGGGGCAGTTCCAGTCCTGTTCATGGCCTGCATGGATTTCTACTTGCTTGGTATCTTCAATTTGGAGGAAAGGAGGAAGAAGGAGGTAGACAACGCAGGCAGAGATGGGTAGGACAGGGGAGCTAGAAATAAAAGAAACCTCACACTCTGAGAAGTTGCCTTTGACTATTGTTTGTTTCTGCTTATCACACTCTTCCCCTCTGGCCTGGGATGCTCAGCCTCTCTTCTTGTCCTCATCCCTGCTATTCTAGGTTAGCCTGATGGCAGCCCTTCTACTGCCCCAGTGGGCCTTGGCCTTTCCTCTCTCTGCTGCTTCCATTCCTTTCTGATACTACTTGGTTAGTTTGATCATGCCTAGCCTTGGAGGTCTCCACTGTACCCTGACATGACACCTCTCTCTGCCCCTGTGCTCTTCACCTTCTGTCCTGCTTCAGGGTCCCCATATTGGCCCTCTTTGTCCTTGGGAACCAGCCTGTTTCTTCCTTCTTTCCTAGGGTACTAGGGAATTCCTTACCATGGCCTAACTGGTTGCCCAGGAAACTGTTCTCTTGGCTTCCCACAGTGACCCAGTATCTTTTTGAGTAGTGTACCTGTCACAGCCACCTCCCTCCCTTCGAGCACTGGAACAGGCATGCCTTGGTGAGGCCCATTATCGCACCTGTGGCTGCCTACCTCACCCTGCTCCTGTAACTGCACCTTTGTTTCCCCAGGATCCCTGGGTAGTTTTGGACAGCTGGGTGCCAGTCCCTTCCTGCTCAAACACTGCTGGGAGAAGTTATTGGTGAAATTATTAAGGCCACTCCACGTATTTAAAAGGAGATTTATTTAATGGTGTAACTTACAAATTAAGGGATAGGTAGGTCGCGGGGTCTGGGGAAGGTGTATCGCAGTCCAGCGGTGTTCTCTGGAGCTCTGCTTGGTCCACCTCTCCCGTCCAGGGTCCTGGAACAGAGCGAGAGCGCAACCCATCCAGATCTCAGGTCTTCAAGCACCTCCCTTGGCCCCGCCTTGTAGGCGTGACAGTTGTCAAAGTCTCAATGGGGGTTGGAACTTCCAGATCAAAGCTGGAATGGCTACCCACTACATCTCCCCCTTTTTGTCTAAATAAGAAGGTTCTAACCTAATACAAGACTATATACAAAGGAATGGTTATCAAATATTGTCCAGGAATAATGAGGGATAATGACCTAGATAAGATGGAACTACAACCAGTGCAAACAATATCAAGCAAGAAACACATACTAAAATCCAGAGAAGTATAGAGCATAGGTAAATGGCATGTTACAAAGATCATTCCAAAAGGTGTCCTATCCTAAAGAACCTGAATCTACTACTTAATATATTCTATCTACTAAGTTGTAACTATAACTGCTAGTCTTCAATCCCATCAAAGACCTGAGAAGGAATGTAATGGTACCTGAGAAATGGTAGATGGATGCAAGCAACTTTCGGGAATCTTGCAAGAGTAGACCGAGACAGCTGGCAGCCTGGACAGTCACCTAATGTTTCTCAGCATTGTTGGTGCATTCAAATTGGCTACAGGCCTAAAGTATCTGACAGACCATTTTCAGAAGCAGGAATTCTGAAAGACCATCTTACCCTGTCTTGGCAGAGTACAGTGGTCGCTTTCTTTGTGTCCTGCTTGTCCAGAAAGGACAGCATTGCATTCGTACTGTCAGCCATTGAGGCAAGGGCAGTTCTTTGCCCAGTAGGCCATTTTGTGCCAAGAAGACAAACTTCCAAATGGAAATGTCTTAGAAGCCCAACATTCTCTCGGGATCAAATTGGTGCAGCCAGGAGCAATTGTGTCTCACGTCAACAGAATTCTAAGTTGTTTAAATGCCATATTCTCTAGGTCTATGAAGTGTTTGAAGATTACCTGTCCATCTGACTTATGTATCTGTAAATCTGGATAACCTAACTAACATAACTATAGAGATGACAAGCATAGGTGACTATAAATCTATAAGTCTTATCTACCGAAATAACCTAAGGACTAAGGGTTCACGTAAACAAGATAAACAGTCTATAAGCAAGAGTATGGTAAAGAACAATGACTTCAAAATTGTGAGAAACACAAGATATTTATAACAGAGGTAGGAGTATATAGTGCGATATGTAATATGACAATAATCTTAAATATATATCAATATTTATAACAGAGGTAGGAGTGACAGTTGTCAAAGTCTCAATGGGGGTTGGAACTTCCAGATCAAAGCTGAAATGGCTGCCCACTACAAGAAGTTGATGGGCAAGCAGGTCCTTGTTCTCTCCTGTCCTTCTGAACCAACACTATGGACAGGCTCAGGAGTACCTGCAGTGGGCAGGTACAACATTCACCACAACCTTAGAAGGCCAGGCCTGCAGTATTGGATACCTAGCTCTGGAATGAAATTTCCAGGAGAGGCCAGGAATGGCCTTCTAGCTACTCTCACATCTTGATGGTCCCCCTCACCTGAAGTCAGGTGAGGCAGGAAAGGCCTTAGAGCAGCATTTCCCAATCTGTGGGTCACGACCTCCTTGGGGGTCGAACAACCCTCTCACAGGGGTTGCATGTCAGATATCCTGCATATCAGATATTTACATTACGATTTATAACAGTAGCAAAATTACAGTTATGAAGTAGCAATGAAAATAATTTTATGGTTGGGGTCATCACAGCATAAACAACTGTATTAAAGGGTCACAGCATCAGGAAGGTTAAGAACCACTGCCTTAGAGTCTTTGAGGTCTCCAGGTCACCTTTCTACTTCTGAAATTGAAAGAATTGGCTCAGCCACACCCATAGGGCTATTTGGGTCAGGCCTCACTGCCTTATGGCCTTCTTTTGCCTGCCTATCCCCCCTGCCTTCTCCACAACTCTACTAAATAAGTGCTTGTAACACATTAGGTCTCAAATCCCCCCCTGAGTGTCAAAGCTTTGGGTGTCATACCCTATAGCAGAGATCACCATCCTGGTTGCTGCTGGAAGATGGGGCCATAAGGTGAGTGAGCTGCAACCAGACAGTATCAACATTGGAGATGTTCCTGAGGCCACCCCCTGTTTACTGACGCAAGACCAAGGCCCTGTCCTCAGTATGACTTCCCATTCACAGGCTAAACATGATACAAGTAGATGCCCCTGTCACTCCTGAGATCATGACAACCTCATGAAGGGCACCCATATCCCCACTGATAGAGGAAACCAAGGCCTGGAGAAGAGGACCTGTTGTCTGTGTGTAATGTGTCCCAGAATAGGGCTAAGTATCACACCTGGTTTGTCCAGATCTGGCAACCACAACCTAGTCTCTATGAGACTTAGAGGTAGGGCTTGGCAGAAGACACAGCCTTCCACCATACTCTGACTTCCTCCTGCCTGTGACAGTGCTCATCACTCATTGGAACCTGCTTGCAGCCAGAGCCTGCTTCCCAGTCTATAAACATGGGGCGTGTGTCCTGGTGGCTGCAAGCTCATGAGGAGGCGGCAAGCAAGCTGGCTGCACAGGTCCTGCGGCCTCAGGCCTCCTGGTTGCCCAATTGGTGGCTGGGGGCGGGCTATGGCCTCTGATTAAAGGCTGCCTGAAGCAGCCTGTGAAGAGACAGGTGCCCAGAAGCCCTGGAAGCCAACTGAAGCCCGTCCCAGGTAAGTGTGGTGGGGATGGGTGGACAGTGCCATGAGCCTGGAGGCAGGTAGAAGCCAACCTGAGGCAGCACTTGTTTGGTAAAGAAAAGGTTGGGGAGACCAGGGTCCTCATGCCAGATTCCTTTGGTGCCTGCTACCCAAAGTTGGAAAGCAGGGCATAATGCCTGAGGCTCCCAGTCAAAGTGTCTTCACCAAGGGGCTGGGCCAAGGCACCATTTGTGGACTATACCTGCCTCCCTCCTTGATGGGGACAGTGGCTAGATCTGGGCCTGGCAGCAAAAGGGAAAGGGGCCTGGGCTAAAGTCTAGGCACAGCAGGCCTTTCTTTTGTGCCTGGTTGGGTGGCAGAACTAAGGTTAGCTGCAGAGAGACCTGGGGAAAAGAGGAGGGATGGACAGCAGTAACAGATCCTGGTCACTTGATCTTAGCCCTATGGAGTCCCCTTAAAAGTGTCTCTGGATATGAGCCTTAGAAATTATGCCTAGCACCAAAGGCCTCATGAGGTGGGGTGGAGCAGCAGGAAGTGAGGCCCTGAGTGATAGAGCTTTGACTTGAGGGGCTGTGGGCAAAGGGACCTTGCTCCTGTTTCTTTAGCCTTTTGGCTTATGTCACTTGTTCTGGCAGCTTTAGGCCTCACTGTTCCTGTGAGAACATCAGCATGTCTGAGCTGCCCCGGGCTGAGACCTTTGTATTCCTGGACCTGGAAGCCACTGGGCTCCCAAACATGGATCCTGAGATTGCAGAGATATCCCTTTTTGCTGTCCACCGCTCTTCCCTGGAGAACCCAGAGCGGGACGACTCTGGTGCTCTGGTGCTACCCCGTGTGCTGGACAAGCTCACACTGTGCATGTGCCCGGAGCGCCCCTTTACTGCCAAGGCTAGTGAGATTACTGGTTTGAGCAGTGAAGGCCTGATGCACTGCCGGAAGGCTGGTTTCAATGGTGCTGTGGTGCGGACACTGCAGGGCTTCCTGAGCCGCCAGGAGGGCCCCATCTGCCTTGTGGCCCACAATGGCTTCGATTATGACTTCCCACTGCTTTGCACAGAGCTACAACGCCTGGGAGCCCATCTGCCTCAAGACACTGTCTGCCTGGACACGCTGCCTGCGTTGCGAGGCCTGGACCATGCTCACAGTCATGGCACCAGGGCTCAAGGCCGCAAGAGCTACAGCCTGGCCAGTCTCTTCCACCGCTACTTCCAGGCAGAGCCCAGTGCTGCCCATTCAGCAGAGGGTGATGTACACACGCTGCTTCTCATCTTCCTACATCGTGCTGCTGAGCTTCTTGCCTGGGCAGATGAGCAGGCCTGTAGCTGGGCTCACATTGAGCCCATGTATGTGCCACGTGATGGTCCAAAACTTGAGGCCTGAATGCCAGCGTTATCCGTTCATCCAGGCTCTGAGACATGTTCTTGCTCTCTGCAGCACCTGCCTGGCCTTCCTCACCCCTTGCCTACCTGGCCATAGGATCCTAGAGCCTTCTCTGTGCCCTACTTCCAGTTGAACACCCTCTGGCCAGCCTGGGCTCCTGTAGTCTGCTCCTTCAGGGCTTCTACCTTTCACCCTATTTATCAATAAATATCACCACCTATTTACCTGCTGATTTCCTGGCCAGACTTCTCTCTGCCCACACCCAAAACTATCCCACCAAGGCACAGATGGGGGCCATGCTGACCTGACTATGAGTGTGTAGAGGGGAAGATGTCAGTATGCAGGATTTTCCAATGGGCTTTTGTTAGGTTGGGGCACTAGACCCTGAGCCCCTGGCTATTTCTCTGGTATGTTTTATGGTCCCTTTGAGTGTTGCCCCTTTCTGCTAGACCCTTTGGATGAGCAGGCTGAATCTTCCAGGCAGTAAACTGGAAGGGCTAACTGAGCCTACAGAGCTAGTTCATGACTTCTTCAAAGCCCAGCTCTAGCTCTTACCCTTGTCCTCCTCTGCCCCTGCTCAGCAAAGTAGCATGAGTGAATTGATATAGGGCACTGGGGAAAAACAGGTATCTATTCGTTTGTGGACATGTGGCACATGGATGCCACAGGAGGAGGGCCCACCCAGGCAGACTAGGGTACCAAGCTGACCTGAGGTGTAAAGGAGAAATGGATTGGCACATAGGGTGCCATCCAGAATGGAACACATCCCAGGTTTCAGCTCCTTCATGGAGTGATTTGGGTGGGCAACTTCTCACCAGCTGCCTCAGCTGGACTTCAGGTTTCTGGTGAGCTGCCTGTGGGGCCCCACCCTGAGGCATTCCTGTCTTGTGGTAAGTCAGACCAGGTGAGAGCTGTGTCACCAAATGCTGAGGCAAGTAAGAAGGGGTGGGGTGGCCACACCCCAGAGTGACTCATATGAGCAAAGCCTCCAGCCTCGATTGAGCCAGCCTGGCCCATTTGGGAACCCCTAAGTAGGTCAAAATGACTAGAGAGGCTTCAGTGTGTGTGGCGGCAGGATGATGAGAGCAGAGCACTGGTGATGGTTGCATCACAATAGTCTCTTGGCCTGGTTGAGACTGAGGACAGTGGAGGTCACAGAGGGTTGTGTCTAGAAGAGAGGCAAAATCTGATTCATGTATTTGTTGTATTTCTCAGGCTGGATCCCTTTTCCTTCTGGCCAGGCTCAGGTGGACAGCCTATACCAGAAAGTAGTGCCCTTAGAATGCTGTCCCTGCTACTAAGTAATGACAGGCCAGAAAGGCTCAACTCCAGGATCAGCTGCCCTATCTGTACCTTATGACACCTCCACAGTGGTCTTGTTTCGTGCTTTTCCCGCCCTGAGGCTGAGGTTTCTGCTTCAGCTATCCAAGTTGCCCTTGGCCTCCTGGTAGTCTGGTGTTGGATATTGTCCCTAAGTCTTTCATGCCCACTCAGGTTGGTCAGGCTAAGCATTAAGCATCTTTCCATTTAGCACAGACAAGCTGAGACCTGCCTCCAAAGCAGTAATGTGCTGATGAATTCTTGCCAACTGGCTTTCCAGGAAAGTGAGTGAGTGAGTGAGTGAGTGAGTGTGTGTGTGTGTGTGTGTGTGTGTGTGTGTGTGTGTGTGTGTGTCCCACCCATGATGAGCACTGGTTGGTTCACAGTTTCTTTTCTCTTAATGAGTAAGTTGAAAGTAAAGCAGCAGAGATATATCTTAGAACTTCACACGTTCACATTACCCACAATGCTATGGCCACAGAGGCAGCACTCTGGTTTAATCTGCAGTTATTAACATGTTCCCCATTATTTTCTCAAGTCGTGGCAGTCAACAAAGCAGGAATAAATTGAGCACTGCCATGCCCTGGCCCATAAACCTCTATGGGGTAGTTCTTTCACTGTGGCCAATAGGCCAATAGAGTAGGCATAAGACTGTACAGGAAGAGATTTGTGGTATCACACTATGGCATTGATTTCTACTGTGGTCTGCTTAGATGTGCATCAATACACAGTAAAATGTGGCCAGTTAAGATGTGATAGATTTTGGATATCTCCTTTAGTTTTCATATAACTTGCTTTTTCAATTTATATTATTTATTATTTTTGGTTTTTGGAGACAGAGTCTCATGTATGCCAGACTGCTCTTATACTCCCTATGTAGCCAAGGCTGACCTTGGACTCCTGATCCTCAAGCTCCTACCTCCTAAGTGCTGGGATGATAAGTAGGTGTTGTCATGTCCAGCTTGTTTACATAACTTCATTTCTAATAGATGTTAACATTTAACAATTACCTCTCAAAATTTATAAACATTTAACATCCATCTGAATGACTAGAACAACAACAAAAGACTACCATATGTTTGTTGAAGATGAGGGAGGATGAAGGGCTTCTTTGCTTTTGGTGAGACTATAGGTGGTGGAGCTTCAATGGAACCCAGCTGGGGAGTGTCTGAAAGGATTAACTGAGCGACCATCACCCATATGTTTCCCCAAGAGAAATTCATGACACATTCAGAACAGCTTGGGTCCTAAGGCCCCTCAACTAGAAAGAGGCAGATGTTCCCCAGTAGGATGGCTGGCTGTACAATCTATGTCACACCTGCACCTGAGGATGCTACTCAGCAATGAACAGAGGATGCGCCTGAAACTCCAGTCTGGATGCAAAATGGATTAGCAATGCAGCAGACAGAGTGCACCAGGCCTGGAAGGAAGTTAGAAAAATGACAAGGGCTGCCTTTCTAATTTCTGTTACCAAGCTGAAGTTCCATCAGGATTATGCAAACTCTGCTTTTCTTAATTGCAGCTCAAGCATACCTCTTCCCCACTCTCTTTCTATTAGGGGCTTGATTTCCCTTAGCCTCTTAATTTGCCTTTTAAAATTCCTTAGTAGGCCTGGGCACTCAGTTGGCAGAGTACTTGCACAGTATGTACAAAGCCTTGGGTTCCATGCCCAGCACGAAATAAACCGGGTTTGGTGGTGGAGGCCTATAATCCCAGCACTTAAGAGATGGAGACAAGAGGATCAGAAATTCAAGGTCCTCAGCTATAAGACCAGCCTGGGACACATGAGACTTTATCTAAAAAATAAATACAAATCTCCCTTGAATATCTGACTAAGGCTTGTACCTGGGCTGAAAACTTAAGGGTTTTTTGCTTCTTGTCTTACTCAGCTGTAGCTGATACAGCAAAGGACCATAGATGGGATGACTCACAAGCAGCAGAAATTCATTGATCATAATTCTGGAGCCTGGATATTCAAGACCAAGGTGCAAGCAGGCTCTTTGGCTGGCGAGAATTTTATTTCTCACAAATGGCACCTTCTTGATGTGTTCGCATGTGGCTGAGGGGCCCAGCCACAGCAGGTCAGAGAAACTGGAGAGGAGATGTAGAGTAGGCAAACTACTGGACAGACGCACAGACACACATGGGCACTTTATCTGAGGGCCAAAACTTAATTCTTCATTTTATTTTTCTCTCTACTACTTGTTCTTACTCTGTTCTTTCCCTGTTCTGTTCGTTGACCCTGTTGTTTTTCTTTCACTTTTTCTTCCCAGTTGTTCCCCTTCTATATCTGTCTTGATGTTTTCTTTTTACTTCTTCCCTGATGTTTCCCTTCTATTTCTTCCCTGATGTTTTTATTTCTACATCTTTCTTTCTTATATCTTTTATATTTCTTACTCCATTTATACCTCTTAATATAAAGATTTCTATGCAAGAAAAGATTACTTCACAACCACAAATTACATATTTTCCAAAAACAAATTAAAATCTTTACATAAGAAGAAATGACATTAAGATCACAAGTTATGTTTTCCTTAGAAGCCCACAAGTAGTTAAACATTTTTCTTTGTATTAATTTTCCCACCATAACATCTTCACCCCAAAGTAATGATTCTTTTATTATTAATTAACAAAGTTTAAACAAGTCAAATATATTTCAGCCAGTTCCTTTTGTACTGGCAGGCAGCTGTTTGCGGTTTCAGTATAGCAGATTCCTCTCTTATTTCTACTCTACAAAACTTTACTCAAATGGTTTAGCTAACCATCTATTTTTCTTTACACACAATAGGCTCATCTAATTTGCTTTTTCAAGGTGCATAAGGTGCATACCTTGGGCCTGTGATTAATTCTGTAAGTTACATGACCAAGGAACTCACACCTAACCTTGGGTGTAAGGACATAATTGCTTTCTTTGGTCATCAGCCTGTTTTGCCACGGACACAATTCATGGGTCTATAATGCATGAAATTTCCTTGTTCTTATTTTCCATCTTCTACAAATCTCACATCTAACAAAAGGGAAGGTAACTTCTAGCCTATTTTTGTCTTTGTGTATCTCTTATTTGAGCAATTGACAGAATAACCTAAACCATTTCCCTAATCATCTTCACTAACTGTCTTAACCACCTGTATCTTTTAGGCTGACTTAGGAAGTCTAATTAAATCATTGATCTAACTAATCATCATTGCTCTATAAAAATCATCTTCATTATGATCTGCAAGTAAATTGCCCAGTGAGGAGTGGGATTTTTCCCAAGAAACAATCACACTATATTAGATACAGTGGGATCCTTTCACATGGTAATCACACCATGCCAAATACAGCAGGAACACAGCAGCAGCAAGCAGGAGCAAGCACAGCAGAAGCAAGGGGCACTATAGAGACAATTCCCCCAGGGCTTTTGCTCCTCCAGGATTTAGCTTTGCTATTTAGTGAATTGAACTTCAAAAGCTCCATTGCTAACTGCAGCTCCTCTGACATAGCTACTGACATTCTTACATGTTGGAAGGGATTGGCTCATCCCTTGGAATTTCTTCTAAGGGTGCTAATGCTGTTCATGGGAACTTTGCCTCCATGACAACTAAACCCCCAAAGGCTCATAATAGCACCACCTTGGTTTTAACACATGAACTTCAGTGGGAGCACACAACCAGACACACAGGACTCTCCATACACATTCCCCCTTTCACACACACACACACACACACACACACACACACACACACACACACACACACACACACACACACAGAGAGAGAGAGAGAGAGAGAGAGAGAGAGAGAGAGAGAGAGAGAGAGAGAGACTCCCTCACGTTCTTCCCTGAGTCTTCCTCCCACACATCCACAAATTTGCGTAAATGACATTTGACTAGGTGCTACATCTTAAAAGTCATAAATGCCTTTCTTTGAAACACTTCATAGTCAATTTCCTGAGGGGTTTTAAGGGTTTTTGTTTGTTTGTTCTGTTTTTCGAGACAGGGTTTCTCTGTGTAGCTTTGGAGCCTGTCCTGGAACTCGCTCTGTAGGCCAGACTGGCCTTGAACTCACTCTGTAGACCAGGCTGGCCTCGAACTCACAGAGATCTACCTGCCTCTGCCTCCCGAGTGCTGGGATTAAAGGTGTGCACCACCACCGCCCAGCTTAAGTTTTTATTAACAATCTTTTTCATTTTTTTTTAGCTTCTATACTGATGTCTCCTTTCTTATTCCGAGCCGTGTCTTAACAAGGATTGTGAGAGATTATCTTTTTCATTGGCCCTTTCTTTTGAGTTTGTGTATATGTGTGTTTGTGTGTCCACATGTGCATGTACATGCCAGAGGTCCACATTAGGCATCTTCCTGAATTACTCTGCACTTTATTTTTTTTGAGTCAAGGTCTCTTACTAAAATTTGAGCTCACCAATTGGCTAGATGGGCTGTCCAGAGAAGCCTGGGGATCCTTCTATTTCTCCCTAGTCACTGCTAGGGTTATAGATATGTGTTGACTTGCTCAGTTTTTATATGGGTGCTGGAGATACAAACTCAAGTCCTTATGCTTGTGAGACAGGCACTTTTACCACTGAGCCATCTCCACATCCCTTTATTGGCCCTTTCAAAGGAAAACAAACCTAAACCTTTGACTTATTCTTTCACTTTAATTTTTTTCTGCTTCATTAACTATCTATTTACCATCTCTGGTTTAATTTTAGATTATTTTCTGAGATGAAGACTAACCTCCTGGATCATCATCTTTATTGAATAACCAAGGTCCTCAAAAACCACCATTTCCTCCAAGTAACGATCTGACCATGTCTCAGAGGTTTGCTATTGGGCAGCTCCTTCACTTTGTATTAGAGATAGCTCATAATTTCACTTTTTGTTTTCTTTGCAATGTAATGCTGTATAGAAGAGTTTATCCTAACTTCAGGGTAGTGAAGAGTTTTTTTTTTTAAGAAAATCTTTCCTTTATTATTATTAGTGTGCAATGTGTGTGTGTGTGTGTGTGTGTTGTGGTGTGGTGTGTCCATGTACATATGCTACAGTGCTCCTGTTAAAGTCAGAGGACAACTTTCAGGGAGTCATGTCTTTCCTCCCACTATGGGTTCCAGGAATCAAATTCAGATTGTCAGGCTTGTGTGGCAAGTTCTTTTATGCACTGAACCATCTCACTCACCCAAATCACCTTTGAATGGGGGTTAGAGTAGGCTTTATGTTTTCTAGGGCTGCCATAGCAAAATACCACAGTGCTATAAAGGCCAAGATCAAGGTCTCAGCAGGGTGGGTCCATTCTGAGTTTTTCAAGGGAGTCTGGTCCACTTTTCTTCCCTGGATTCTGGTAGTTTCTACAACCTTGGTCATTCTGAGTCTTGTTGGTGCTTTCATCTTCACATGACATTCTCCCTATGTGCACATCTCTGTGTATTACTTCTTAGCCACACAGGGTCTAAGCCCACCTTCATGACCTTCTCTTAACTTGAGCTGTACCACAGACCTCATCTCCAAATTTGCAATCCTCCTGTCTCAGCCTTCCCAGTGCAGAGATTACAGGTGTGTCACATGCCTGCTCATAAATGACTTTTAAAAGTGTTCTAGATGCTGTAAAATCCTGTCTCCTTAAGAAATGTTAGTCCTTCTCTATAGTTCTAGAATATAGCTTGACAATTGTACTGCTCTGCAATTGTTCTTGCTTATCTATGACATCTGTCCAATTACATGACAAAGTATAATAATGCTCCATCATAGTTATGTTTTATTGAAGTATTCCTCCATGTCAAGTTTTTTCGTTATACATTTAATCATTATATGCTTGTACTTATGACTTTATGATTCTATTAGTCAGGATTCTCACAATACCTGGGAATCTCTTCATTTATCAGGAGACTTCAGAGCATTGGGTCACATGATGTAGAGACTGAGTAGCAACTGGGCCGCCTAGCAACTGAGGGTGGAGCTATATGTAGTTCAAGTCCAGGGGACATCTAGAGTAGCACCCCTTCCTCTGGGTAATTTCATTCTTTTAAACTTTCATTCATTAAAGCCTCCAACTGATCACACAAGACTTACCTACACTGGGGAGATGGATAGCTTTATTCAAAGTCCAACAATTTAAATGTCAGTCTCATCTAAAATTATTTTCACAGCCTCATCTAGACTGCTGTTTAACCAAAACCTGAGTTTTATAGCCTGGCCAAGTTGGTATATAAAATTGTTCCCTGACTTTAACTTGGTGCCTATATCATCCATAAAGCCAGAGTGAAGCCTCACAGAGCATTCAGCTGGCTGCTCTACCCTCAGACATGCAGATGGGACATTTAGCTTTCTCCCTGAAGTCTCTGTTTTGCAGCTTTTCTTCTAGTGGGTGCCCTTCTACGTTTCCACTTTCCTTCCCTGTGCAGTGAGTGGCTTGGCTAGCATTAGGACCCAAGAGCTGCTATTTTTCCCAAGCTTTCCCAGCCAGAGTTCTACTTGTATTCACAGTGAGCACACAGACAGAGGGCAAAGAGATGCTCTCATAGAAACTTCCTGGGGCAGCAGGACTTGTGGGATGCTTAAATTGTTTGAAGTTTACAAAACCAGGCTTGGTGGTGTACCTCTGTAATCCTACTGAGGTAGGAGGATTGCCAGGAATTTGAGGCCAGTTGGGGATGCAGAGTGAGACCCTGCCTCATTCCACCCCAAAAGCCTTTATGAGGATTTATACACATCTCCAAGGGCCAGAGAAATGGCTCACAAAACAAAGGTTACTGTCAGAACACATGAGAAACGGATAGAGCAAAGATCTTTCAAGAGGAAAGGTATGGTGATATTTTATTTGTATTAAAATGTTATTTGTATGTTAATAAATAAAGTTGCCCGGGGGTCAGAGCTATTAGCAAGCCATAGGAAAGCAGGGCAGTGGTAGCGTACGCTTGTAATTCCAGCACTTGGTAGGCAGAGCTGGGTAAGTCTCTGTGTGTTCAGGGATACAGCCATTATTGGATACACATGCCTTTAATCTTAATACCAATCATGGAAAACCTGGAGGCCTATACAGACAGGCTGTGAGGAGGCGGTCATGTGGTTGGGTTTACAACCAATGAGAAGGCAGGACAGGAACTCTATATAAAGACTTTAACACAGGGGTAGCTCTGGTTCGGAGAGGTAGGACCACCGCAGGAGGAAGGGTAAGGTTTTAGCTCTTAGCTCTGACCTCTTGGCTTTCTTCTTTGCATTGGTTCTGTGTTTATTATTTAATAAGAAGGTTGGATACATCTACATTTGGCGCCCAACGTGACAAGAATTCATTAAAAACCGCTTGGCTTGGCTTGGCGGCAGGTCCAGTTTCCAGCCTGGGCGGCCCGGCTGCCTACCTTGGGCCCAGGCCTGACTGACCCGCAGCTGGAGCTACTTGCAACTGCTACAAACAACTCAGACCTGCCCTGCTGAACAGGGCCCCTGCCTGTAAAGCCAAGGCTTGACTCGGCTCAAGCGGCTACACTTTCTCTCTCTCTCTTCTCTCTCTTCTCTCTCTCTCTCTCTCTCTCTCTCTCTCTCTCTCTCTCTCTCTCTCTCTCGCTGGATTCACACCTCGAACACCAGGTGGCTGTGAAATTCCCTGGGATTCTACTGTTCTACCCAGACTTGGTAAGTCAATTAACATATCTATTTAAAAGAGAATTTTTTCTACATTAAAAAAAATGGGCTTTATGTGTACATTGGAAGAAAATTGGGCTTTGTTTGAAATTTTAGGCACTCTGACAATGGAACAACTATATGAAAAGATTAATATTGATCGAATTATTCAGTTTATTACTTTTCTTATCCTCATTTTACTATTTAAAAAGATCGTCAACTTAAGTGCCAGGATAACAGTCTTAGAAAAACTTGTTAAACCGGTAAAAATGAATTATAGAGAAATTCAAATTCAGACAGAAGAAATAAATAGTGAAGTTGTTTCAAAATTGGATCATAAGGTTACAGAAAGAAAGCCAGTTTTCACACAATCACCCTTAATTTATCCAGTAGCCGTACAGCAGCTACCTGATGAAGAGAATGAACAAAATACTTGGGTTCCAGTTGAAATGTTAGACTTACGAAGATTTAAGGAGGCAATAGCATCTTATGGCATGCACTCCCCATATGTAAAGCAAATGTTAAACACCTGGTCAACTTGTAATAGGATTCTACCAAAGGACTGGCGGGAATTGGCACAGGCTGTTCTTGAACCCGGACAAAATCTCCAGTGGAAAATGTGGTTCAGTAATGAGGCTAAAAATATAGAAAGACAATGGAGGGATAGCGGAATACAAGTCTGCCAGGATCAGCTTATTGGCGAAGGCCAATATGCTTCAGTACAAACACAATGTTCATATGATGTCCAAACCCTACTTCTATGTAAAACGGCAGCTTTGAATGCATGGGACAGAGTTGAAGAACCAGGAAAAAAAAACTGAGTCATTTACAAAGGTTATACAGGGCCCCAAAGAATCTTTCACAGATTTCTTACAAAGATTGACTTCAGCAGTACAAAAAATGGTCCCGAATTCAGAGGCTAGTCAGATAATAATTGAATCTTTAGCCTTTGAGAATGCAAATGCAGCGTGCAAAAGAATAATCAGGCCATTAAAGGCAAGATCTGCACCTTTGGAAGATTGGATTAGAGATACAGTTAATGTAGAGGCTTATGACCATGATGATATGTGGGTAGGAAAAGCAATTTCAAAAGGTTTGAGCAATGTTAGATGTTTTGGATGTGGAAAGCAAGGACATTTGAAAAGGGATTGTAAACAGGTCATTCCTAGAAATAATGTTTATTCAAGGAACACTGGCAACAGAATGCCCCTTCCTTCTGGAGTATGCAGAAGGTGTGGTAAGGGAAAACACTGGACCAACGAATGTAGATCAACAAGGGACAGACAGGGTAACCCTCTGCCTCGAGCTTCGGGAAACTCCCAGAGGGGCCTCAGGCAGGCCCCCACAGTAAATCCAGTTCAAACCTTTCCTGCAGTTGTAGAGGAAACCCCTACTCAAAGCAACTAAATAACCAAATGTCTATTGGAATAAATCATGTTAGTCGAGATGATGAAACAGAGAAAATAGGAAATACAAGAAAAAACATAAAGAAAATTTTTTGGCAAACTTCTATTAATGAACAAAGACCAAAACTAACAATAAAAATAAATGGTGTTTTGTTGTCTGGTCTGGTAGACACAGGTGCTGACATTACCATAATTGCACCAGAATTTTGGCATCCAACTTGGCCTCTTCAGGAGGTAAACATTCAACTCTGAGGAATTGGGATATTATCTAGAGTGAAACAAAGTGTAAGATGGCTTGAATGTATAGGTCCAGAAGGACAGAAAGGAAAATTAAAACCATATATGGCTAACATAGCTATGAACCTGTGGGGTCGAGACTTGTTACAACAATGGAATACTCAGATTAATATCCCTCCAATCTCAGAAACAAATCATAAATTAGTACATGTTTCTGAGAGAAATATTAAAAGATATTATTCTAATGAGTGCTCACCAGCCATCCATGTCATACAAGAACAGGGCACAACAACTGATAATCTTCCAAAAACATTAACAGCTCTACCTTTAAAATGATCAACAGACAAGCCTGTATGGGTTCAGCAATGGCCTTTAACAACAGAGAAACTCCAGACTTTACAAGAGCTGGTGGAAGAACAGTTAAATGCTCATCATATTGAAGAATCAACCAGCCCTTGGAATTCTCCTGTATTTGTTATAAAAAAAAATCTGGTAAATGGAGAATGGTAACAGACCTTAGAGCAATTAACAAAGTAATCCAGCCAATGGGCTCTTTACAATCTGGAATTCCTTTACCTACTCTGTTACCAAAAGGCTGGCCTCTCATAGTTATTGATTTAAAAGACTGTTTCTTTTCAATACCCTTTCAAGAAAAAGACAGAGAAAGATTTGCTTTCACAGTGCCTACTTATAATAATTCTCAACCGGTTAAAAGATTTAAATGGAGGGTTCTCCCACAGGGAATGTTGAATAGCCCAACTTTGTGCCAATATTTTGTAAAACAGCCATTAGAAGTGGTACGTAAAAAATTTCCTAAATCTATAATTTATCATTATATGGATGACATTTTATTAGCTGATTCAAATGCAGATACTTTAGAAAGAATGTTTGAAAAAGTAAAGAAAAGTTTGCCTTGCTGGGGATTACAAATTGCTTTAGAAAAGGTACAAAGAGGAGATTCTATTAATTATTTAGGATATAAAATAGAACTTCAAAAAATTAGACCTCAAAAAGTGCAAATTAGGAGAGATCGACTACAGACTCTTAATGACTTTCAAAGATTATTTGGAGACATTTCTCATCTAAGAACTATTGTTGGGGTAAAAAATGATGAACTGAATAATTTGTTTAAAACCTTAGAAGGTGATAAGGACTTAAATAGTCCAAGAGAATTATCACCTGAAGTTGAGAAAGAATTGGCCTTGGTAGAAAAGAAAGTACATGAAGGGCACAAAGATCGTATTAATCCAAAGCTGGATTGCATTTTGGTTATTTTACCTTCTAGGCATTCCCCAACAGGAATATTAATGCAAAGGGAAGATATTATATTGGAATGGATATTTTTACCAAATAAACCAAATAAAAAATTAAAAACTTATGTGGAAAAAATCTCTGACTTGATTTGGAAAGGAAAATTGAGACTTCGTCAATTAGCAGGAATAGACCCAGTAGAAATTGTCGTACCTTTAACTAAGGAGGACATTGAAAAATTATGGATAGAAAATGAAGCTTGGCAAAAAGCTTGTAGTAATTTTTTGGGAGAAATTAACAGCAAATATCCCAAAAGCAATAGAATTGATCTTATAAAGAGAGCTGATTGGATCTTGCCTCGAATTGTGAGGAAAAAACCCATATCTGGAGTTCGTACATTTTATACAGATGCCAACAAACAAGGAAAGGCAGGTTACAAATCAGAAAATTTAAGTAAAGTGGTTCAAAGTCCTTATAATTCAGTTCAAAAATCAGAATTGTATGCTATTCTGTTGGTATTAATGGATTTTTCAGAACCTCTCAATATAGTAACTGACTCTCAGTATGCTGAAAGAGTAGTATTACATATTGAGACTGCAGAATTTATCCATGATGCTTCAGAATTAACTTCATTATTTATTCAATTACAAGATACAATCAGAAAAAGGAGTCATCCTTTATATATAACTCACATCCGATCCCATACTGGTCTGCCAGGCCCTCTAGCACAAGGCAATGATGAGATTGATAAATTATTGATAGGAAATGTGCTGGAGGCCTCAGAATTTCATAAAAAACATCATGTAAATAGTAAAGGTTTAAAAAAGGATTTTTCCATAACCTGGCAACAAGCCAAAGAAATAGTAAAGAAATGTCCTACTTGTTCCTTCTACAATCAAACACCATTACCAGCAGGATGTAACCCAAAGGGTACTCAGAGGAATGAAATCTGGCAGATGGACGTGTTTCACTTTGCAGAATTTGGAAAACTGAAATATGTACACCACACTATCGATACTTATTCAGGATTTCAATGGGCAACTGCTTTGAGTTCTGAAAAAGCTGATTCTGTAATCACTCATTTGCTAGAAGTTATGGCCATTATGGGTATACCTGCACAAATCAAAACTGATAATGCTCCATCATATGTCTCTGTTAAAATGAAACAGTTTTTTGCTTATTATAATATAAACCATGTTACAGGTATACCACATAATCCTACAGGTCAAGCAGTTATAGAAAGATCAAACAGAACTCTAAAGGATATGCTAAATAAACAAAAAGGAGTAACAAAAACCCCCAGAAATAGACTTCATAATGCTCTATTAACTTTGAATTTTCTCAATGCCAATGAGAAAGGAACAACAGCTGCAGAGAGACATTGGATAATAGAAAAAACTACAGAATTAAATCAACCTATATACTTTAAGGATGTGCTGACCTCAGAATGGAAACCAGGGTATGTGTTACGTTGGGGACGAGGTTTTGCTTTTATTTCTACAGGAGAAGATAAGCTGTGGGTACCATCAAAATTGATAAAGGTTCGATTTGAACAAGAGAGACCTCTTAATTAGAGGAGGTGATAGTTCATCAACTATCGTAAACATCTAATTTAAACTAACTTACACCAGTAACACATGCCTTTTCATTTAATCAGATAACTTGTCAAAAAGGAACATCCCCAAAAAACCTTGGGGAAAGGTTTTTGTTTTTGTCTTTTAGGAGAATGAAGGTTAACGAATTTGAAGAACACTGGACAAATGAGACAACTGAAGAAAAGGAACAAATCATCTATCCTAAGAAACAGAGTGAAATGGCGTATGGGTATGTTATCTAAAAAAATTTTATGTCTTCCTAAATGTTTGTTTCTGCTTTTCTTTAAAGATTTAACACTATTTAACTTCTAATAGTCCCAGTTCAATTAAAATTTAAAGCTGACTTTGGAGTTGGAGAATGGCTCTCTCCTTCTTTAAACTCA